TATTTTCATCTCTTAATGATTTCCTAAGGTTAAAGAAACTGATCCTATAGTTTGAATTTAGCTTCCCACAAACAATTGGACACCAAATAATCTACTTGTCCTGCCTGTTTGTGGATATATCATGTATATATATATCAAAATATTCAATTGACTAGAAGAATATCTTGGAACGAACATTTAGTTACTCCTTTTATTGAAAAAAGAATTATTAGACAGAAGTAGAGATACTATAGAGGAGAACTAGATGTCCTCTAAAAAAAAAGGAGAAAGACCTAGGCAATAAAACAACTTCAATATAGCACACACAACCAATCTCTATGTAAAATTGATATACATATATATATATAACTGCTTAGTAAGGCTATGCACCTTAAGTCCGAAGAGGTGCCACTGAAGTCAATCTAACCAAGAGAACAATGAGGGAGAAAATGATCCTTAAAGATCCTTTCACCCCTCTTCAGCCACAAGTACAAGACCCATAACGTAGTAAAATATGCCCCTTCCACAAATATACTCACCATTGTAAGGACAATAAGGACTCGGGTATTATCAAACACTCCAACAACTAACTCTTGGAAATCCAAAGTACATATAATGCCGAAACAAACATGACTCCAAATTAAGGCTAAAACTTTTTCTTAGTGCTCTTCATCACAGTGCAATACAAGTAACTGATCTACAGCCACATGTCATAGTCAATTCTAGGTTTAGACATCACTCTGCGAAATGGCTTCATTTGGAATTCCTAATCAGCATTGCTATTTACCAAGTAACTAAATACACAAGCATATGGTAGAAAATTAGTTAGTTCCCAAGGATCAATAGTTCAGCTTATATCCTGGTCCACAATTAGAACTCCCGTTACTCGAGCAACCCACAAGATCAAGTAGCTGTCTAAAGTTTTCAAAGCAGCCATGAATCGAACTCAACGAATAAATGTACTCCACTATCAGTAGAAGGAAGAGGAAGTAGATAATAAAATGATTCTATACCCAAAAAAAAAAAACGAAAAAAAAACCAAGAAATTTAAAAATTAACCAACGAAAGGTAAAGAAACGTACAATTCTAAAAACATT